CCACTCCACAAACTCCCCCTTCCCTGCTTGGTTTCCTCCCTCATGTGTGTACTAGAGTATGTGCACCATACTCTACGTTTTGCTTACTTATCTTTTTCATTCCCTGGTTCTCCTACCAGAAGGTAAGCTCCAAGAGGGCATTTTTTTGTTGTTTGTTTGCAGCTATGCCCCGCAGTGCCTAGAATACAGCAGATGCTCAGTAGATATCTTTCAATGTATGAGAGGCTGAATTTATATCCTGCCCCCCTAAACAAGAGATCTGAGCAATACAAACTCCTAACAAATACGGCAGCTGGGATACCCTCAGGGGGAAATCTAGGGGCTTCTGTCCCTATGTTCCTCTTGGTGATACTCTTTCAAATGCTTCACCCAGACTCTAAAATTCTGAATAATCCCAGAATAAATACTATTAAACCAGCCAAATATACAAACCACCTGAAGCAGCTTTGCGTTCTACCCCTCCCCCCAACATACATCCCAAAAAAAGACTGTAGAGTGTGTTTTCCACTGGGTCTTTCAGATAACTCAATCATCTGTGTCCTCAACAGGTGTATTTACTGAGCAATTTCAGAATAAGGAGTGTGAGGATGATACTAGTGGGAAAAGACCGTGCTTGCCCCACGGATATTTCTATTTATACTCTTCCTAAAGCAGCACCAGCAGGCACTCATTTAATGAAAAAGGGATCGCACTATTCTATTGACATTAAGTGGGATAAGACTTCCTGTCCTGAGCTGTTTCACTTTGCTACTAGCATGGGCCTAAAAATGTCGCTCCAAACAAAAATGAGCTGCACCAGCCACACATGGAAGGCTTGTAAAGAGCCCCAGCGAGTAGCTTCCTTGTACAGGTGAGCCATAAATTCTCAGGGTTCTAAGAGCACTTGAAAACCATCTTGTCTTCCCTGCCCGCCCCACCCCTGATTTTAGAGAGGAGGAAGCTGAGACAGGGAGAGAGTGGTGTGGACAAATGACCAAGCAGCCCACAGGCCACACAACCCATTAGTGGCTGAGCCAGGCTCAAACCCTCCACAATGCCCAGTCCATCCCCCTACCGACAGCAATTACTTCACCATAAAATGCTCAGTCTATAAGAAAACCATGCATTCACACCCTGCAGAGATGAAGATCTATTTTCTAGGACATGCCATTTCCTATACTCCAGAGGAAAGGAGGTATATTGGGACAATCATTCTGTGTCATGCCAAGTACTGAGGCCTTCTCTGTTCAGATGCCTTTCATGGTGTGGAAATTACAGAAGTGCTTTCCATGAGTCTGGGGAACTTCCTGGACACCACACCAAAGCTCTCATGGTTCCCATCTGTATTCTTCTCCAAATGGCAATTTTTTTTAAATTTCAGAAGTTGTTGAAAGGTATCTCCAATAGAGGTGGTCTGAAGAGCCTTGGTAAATACACTGACAGAAATGTTCACTCCCCCTAATTTGCTGTTACACAACATTTATTTGCTCTCACAGTGTGCCAAGGATCTGAAAACATGTCGTGGATTACTAAACAGTAATTAGGTCTTTCACCTTATTCAGAGCTATGGTCAGGTTCTGGAATTCCCATTCAAAGGAAGTTACATGCAGCCCACTGGTTGGGAGGTTTTTCCTGAGGCCTGACTGAGAGGCATTATCAGCTAACCCAGGCCCAAACCCCAAAGACAGATCCTCTTGCCTAGGCTGTCCCTGCTTCCTTCATCTCCTCCCCACCCTCCTGGGCCCACCTTCCCTCCCATCTGGCCCCCACCCTCCAGCAAGTCTCCTCTGACTACACAAACTAAATTACTCGACCCTTTGGCTTCAAAAGTAAGTGTTCTAGCTCCGCAGGGAAAGGTACGTGAATCAGGCAGCCAGATACCGGATGACAAAGTTTGGCTAAGTGTGCTCCTCAGGCCTTTACAATGCTTTATTTTATTTTATTTTAGATTTTATTTAGTTACTTATTTATTTATTTATTTGACAGAGAGAGAGAGACAGCGAAAGAGGGAACACAAACAGGGGGAGTGGGAGAGGGAGAAGCAGACTCCCCACTGAGCAGGGAGCCTATGAGGGGCTGGATCCCAGGACACTGAGATCATGACCTGAGCTGAAGGCAGATGCTTAACAACTGAGCCACCCCGGCGCCCCTACAATGCTTCATTTTAAAAGCATTTTAACACTGAGAGATGACAGTCTGGCTCCTGGCAGGGCTTTCCTGCCTTAGGATCCTGAAGGCATATGGGGAAGGTGTGACAAACAAAAGGACTTGGAACTGCAGAGTATCTTGAAAATGAATCCCAATCTTGATTAGTGATGCCTTTGACTTATGCTAGGTTTCATTACAAACAGGAGAGAGGTCCAGACTCCACATCTGCACAGACAGGACAGGAAGCAACCTCCCTATTTGGACTCAGGTCAAGGTCACTGGAGCTGGCCCCGTGTGAAACAGGCATCCTGAACTTCAGACCTCTGCTATGAAGTCCAAGCAGACAAAATAATGCTGATAATCTAAAAGCTTTGAAATGTTGCCATATTTAGATAACAGGTTACCCCAGAATGATGTTTTCTTTGCATTAATATTAAAATTAGCTTTCCAAATACTCAAGTTAAATCAAATTATTAGAAAATATTTGCTGTTACATAACCCACAACGTAGCTCAACCCCATATGGATCACGATGAGTTGTTCTGCCTAGATTCAAGTATCAGCTCCACCACTTAATAACTAGCTCATGTTTGGCGAGTCACTTAATCTCTCTGTCACCTCATTTTTCCCCAATCTGCCAATTGGGGATAATAGAAAAACCCACCTTCTAAGCTTATTATGAGAGTGAAATACATGTAAGGCACTTAGAATAATGCCTGATACTTGGTATTCATTTAAGAAAGTCACCTATAATGACTATTATTATTACGTCATGGAGTAAAAACATTTTGATCATTTAATTATTTGTGTTAGACTCTTTTAGAACCCATGCCAGCACCACAGGGCCTCAGTGGGAAGCGTCTTTTCAAGGAATTATTTCCAAGGCGGAAAGCAAAGCTTTAGGACCCCAACAAAGACCCATGCCCAAGTTCACAGGGCACCTGACCAGAGTCCAAGAGACTGTTCTGCAACAGCTCCCCTGGCCTTTCTGGTACCAGAAGGCAAATCCCCATCCTTCCCAGAGGGAAAACCGCCTGCAGTCACCCCCAAACAGCACCTGCTTCAGCAGGAGCCACTCAAAGCCACAGCTCACTGAGCTTCCGCGGCCTGGCTGCTGCAGAGGTGAGGCTGCAGGGCTCTCCTGAAAAGCAGGAGTCAGGGGGAGATGGCCTCTGTCCACCTGGAAGCTGCAGGCAGGGGGAGCAGAGCAAGGGGCTCAGGTGGGGATGCGCCATGCAAAGGAAGGCATTCCCACATGCCGAGACTCCGCTCTCTCCCATCCCGTCCTCTGCAGCCACATAACCGGTCTCAGGATGACAAGCAAGGGGATGCTTCTTGCTTCTCCATAACTTGAGCATCCCAGCATTAAAACCCCATATCCGAATAAACCTCAATAGTAATTTTCAAAAGTTTTGACCAAAACTCACCCCTTAGTCCCAAACCCCTCTTTATTAAAAAGGGCAAAGTCCCTTCTATTTTCATCCCAACAAAGATAGTCTATACCCACAGGTGCCCTCCCTAAAGTACAGCACAACAGCTGGGAGACCCTATTCTCAGCCTTGCCAGTGTGCTTTCCTGGGAATCAGAAGCGTGACTGGGAATGCTGCCTTCACAACTTTGCTCTGGGGGACCCACTGCTGATGTGGGGGTGGGGGTGAGGGAAATGACTGAACAGCCACGGGGGGGGGGGGGACCCTGAGTAGGGGGCAGCAGACAATCTGGGTCGAAAAATGTGGTTCTGGGAAAGCAAGCCAACCCACAAAAACAAGAAAAGGAGGGAAAGGGAAGGAAGGGGAGAAGGAAGAACCCAGTGATTTAGCTCACCAAACACCCCCTCCTTCTCTTCCCAGCCTAATCAACACCTCCATGAACCCCTGCTAAATGTTCAGTTCATATAGCACACGTGTGCGTGTGAGAGAATACATATACTGACAGATACCGATCACCAACAGATACTGATCACATGAAGGGGAGAAAATAACTTGAACTTCAGACTCACCAGCAGTGCCTGATTCTCTTTCACTATCAGCCTCCCTACCTATTCTGGGGCGCTTCAAAACAAAACAAACAAAAACCAACTCCTGGGCAGAAAGAGAGCACCCGCTGAACTGAGCAGCATACGCTTGGGGCATTGATGCCATTGACTTCTCCTGAGTATTTCAGCTTCCTGGCGACGCAGTCCAACATTGGACTAAAGACAGCCCGGGAGAGAAGTCCCCTGTACGGAGACACTCACAGACTCTCCCTGGAGACATGCACCCCAGCGTGTGTGGCTGAGCCTATGTGAAATGGACATGCACTCAGGTAAGGCTCTACCCACACGTGACCCTGCACACTGCGAAATTCTTCCCTTCCATGATCGCGTGGCATCCAAAGTCTTGCCTACACCTAGTACGTGCAGATGTCGATTCTGTAAGAATACATGGTGGAAGGACAGAAATGGGAATGACCGAAGCCCCATTTTCTCAAGACCCTATCTCTCATCTACACGGTGCGCCCACACACACGGTGAGTAAACGTACACAGCCAGGAAACACTCATAATCACCACGCTCAGCCCACAGTCACGCGTGGGGAGAAAGAAGTCGAGAGGGCGGCGGTGTCAAGGGAAGTGGAAAGTCGCCTGCCGGGGATTGTCCTCCCAAAAGCTCGGAGCTCCTCTCGCCCCCGCCCGGGAGCGGTGCCCACCCGCGCCCAAGGGACGCAGACCCACGCGCTGGACACGCGGGGGGCTCTGCAGAGCCGAGAACCGGACAATGAGGACGCGGCGACCAGCCGGTTCCTGCTGCGGTGGCCGGTGGTGGTGGCAGCAGGCGCCGCCTGTGCACCCGCGGCCGCCGGTACCTCCACCCTTCTCTCCCGGAGCCCCACTTACGTTCCGAGGGTCTCTTTGAACTCGAAGATTTTCTTGATGTCTTCAGCTTGCTTTTTCCAGGAGGAGCTGCTCTCGCCGTTCTCCCGGGCCATGGCAGACAAGGGCGGCGTGTGCGGAGGGCGGCGAGGCGGCGCGGCCGGGGCGCGTGGGGCCGGGGTGGGCGCGCTGAGGAGGGGGTGCCCGGCGACAGGGGCGCAGGCGGCGGCGGCGAGCCTGTCCGGGAGGGCTGGGGCCGGCGCGCGGGGATGCTCGGCGCGGGAGCCGGAGGAGACTTTGTGCTGCGGCAGAGCTTCCTCTTCTGCAGTTTCCTCTTTCACTCTCGCCGCCGCCGCGGTCCCTCCCTGGCTCTTATTTCTGCTCGTCTCGGGCACAGACTTCCTGCCGCCGCCGCTCGCCCCGCTCCTTTGCCGCCGGCTGCCAGCCTCACTTTCTGCTACTTTCTTGCCTCCCTTCTCCTCCCTCCCCGCCGCCCGCCTTGCTCCCTCCCCCTCCTCCCCCTACCCCCCCTCCCCCTCCCGCGGGCTCTCCGCCCTCCCCGCGCGCCCCGGCCGCCTCCCGCCTCCCCCGGCCGCCTCCCGCCTCCCCGCCTCCGGCGCGTTGCCGCCTTCGGGGATGTCCTGCTCCCCGGGAGCGCCGTGCACCGGGCGCGGGGCACCGCCGTCGGCTGGCCGCGGCGCGCGCCCTGGAGCCCTGGAGAGGGCAGGTGCGGGGGACCCCGGCAGGTGCAGGGCGCCGGAGCGCGCGCGGGAGGACCCCAGCCCCTTGAGGTGCTTTAGTAATTCTGCAATCAAGTCCCGGGGGCGCGAGGGCTTTCCTCCTTGGCGGCGGGAGGGGGCGCCTCTGCGTTGTGCTTGGCAGCAGCGGGGTGGGGGCGGGAGTGCGAGGCTGCCCGGATCCGAGGCGCCGAGGGTGGGGGCGCTTTCCCCGAGCGCCCGGGCCAGTGGCCGGTGCGTCCCGGGGCGGTGCGGAGCAGGCGGGCGGGGGCCGGTTGTTATGGCGACGGGAGGAGCCGGTGGGGATGCAGGCGGAGGTGGGCGTTGACTCGGGCCACGCCGTGCCGGCCCAATTCTGGCGCTCCCGGAGCCTGTCGGTCCCTCACGACTCGGCGACTAGAGCTAATTCGCATTGCACCAAAATCGGCGCTCGCGTCAAATTCTGGCCGAGGGAGAGGGCCTCGTGGCGAGGAGAAAGCCTGGAAGCCTGGGGACCGGGGACGCGCAGGACGTGCCAGGCGCTGCCTCGTCTTCCCTTTGGGAGCTGGACTCCCGGAGTTACTAGGTGCCCGGGCTGCGGGTGGATTTGGGGACCTCCCGGCGCGGGCTCCGGGCCCCTCTCAGGCTGCCTCGGTCCCCGGACTGGAACTGCCGGCGGGCCTGGGCGGGCCTGGCCGGCCTTCGCTGCTGTTCGGCACCCCCTGGTTCTCCCCCTCTCCTCCTGCTGAAACCCAGAGACTTAGTGAAAAGTGAACATCTGCCCCACACCTTCCTCAAAAGGAGGGCGGCCCCCTCATTAGCCCTGCCTACAGTGGGCTTAGTAGGGTACCCGGAGGCGGAGCTTGTACCTGGAAATATCCTTTCCTACTGGCTGGAGAAAGGACCTCGGAGTTCCTCCTAGCCTCCCATCTCGGAGATGCTCTTTGACTGCCCACCCTTCTCCCACGTCCACCTGTCAGAGGGGGACCCACGTGCAGATCCCCGTCCCCAACCTGAAGGGACTACTCTTGATTCAGAAAATAGTTTTCTTTGTATCCAGATTATTGCCCCCGCTCCCGTAGGGCCCCTGGCCCCTCTGCTGAGTTGAGTAAACAGCCTTGTCTTGATTGTTGCTTGACACCTGCCCCATTTTCCCAGGACTGTTCCAATTTCACTGTAAAGGGGGGGGGGAATCTACTCCCTGAAAAGGAAACTTCATCCAGCATCTTCTTCCTGGGCCTGACAGGGTGGATGCAGGCCCAGTGCTCTCCCCGAAACCTTCTGGACACTGACAGCCCTCCACCCCTTCTCTGACCCCAAGGAGGTCAGAAGATACCCTGACCTGCCCATCCCTCCACACCTCCATGCTGGTTTCCTGTCTTTCAGGGGCTGTTAGCTTAAGGCTCTCCAGGCTGGCCAGAGGAAATTCGGTATTACTTGGCTGTTAGAATGGATAAGCGCAACTTCCAGGACAGATAACTGAGGACACAAGAAGTCGGGGCACATCACCAAAGTGCAAGGCCAACAGCACCCTTTTCAACCAGAACTGGATTTGAGGAACTAGAATATCTTTTCCTTCTGTCAAAGGTTCAGTAATATGAAGAGTTAGAACCGGGAATAACTAAGATGCTAGTGGACACCCTCCCATGCCCTACTATGAACATCTTCTCTTCCCTCCTTCCCTTCCTTCCATTCTCCTCCTTCTTACTCAGTTCTTTCCTCTCTGTTTCACCCTTGCTCCTAGCCTAAGGATCAGCCTCCAGAGCTCCTGAAAACACTTCTCAGTCTCAGCTTTTGTCCCCAGAACTAAGGAAGTGCTGATGCTCTCTCTCTTTCTCCCTATCAAAGAGAGACAGTTGTCCAGGAGGAACAAAAGTGAAGGAGAAGCAGGGGAGGGTGGTACCTGGCTCGATGGCTGTGACTTTATCTACCATCCTGTAACATCCATGAGGTCAAGGAACACATTGCCTTTTGCACCACTGTATGCTCAGCACCTAGCATGGTAACTCACACATAGTAACTGACAGATGAATGAGCATAAGATGGATAAAGAAATGAAATAGAATCAAGACAATTCTTTGGTATTTGTTGTACTGATGGAAAGGCTATAGAGAATCTTCTTTCTCTTCCAAACTTTGTAATGATGTTCATTCAGCATTATCAAGTCATGCTCAGCTGGACTAGGTCCCAGAGAAAAGATACAAACATTTAATGCGGAGCTAAGGAGGCCAGACCCAAAAGAATGGATCCCCAAGGAGGCAGAAATGCCAAAGACAAATTGTGTGGATTTATTATGGTCATTCCTCCCTTACTGGACTCCATGTAAAATAAAAGATCTTGATCCTGGAGATTGCAGTGGAAAACAAAATCCACCATTTCCTAAGAATGGTTATGCATTAGACTGTACACTGCCTAATTCTGTTCACTCGAGGGCCCTCACTTGGACTGTTTTCCAGTAACTGACCATTTCCTCCAGCCTGCCATGTTTTTCTAGAGAGCCAGGTGATGGCAGCCAGTCTCATGATTCTACCCCACCTCCACTGTCAATCATTTATTATCTATTGATCAAAGACTATCTGTCCCCCAACAATTCTACTCTAGAAAGCCCTGTCACATATTCTGGATTACTAAAGTTAGGTCCCAAGTCTTTATATTTCCTTAAAGCTCTTACAATTTTGCTTAAAGAGCCCAAAGAAAAGGTATTTTTTTTTAAAGATTTTATTTCTTTATTTGAGAGAAAAAGCATGAATGGTGGAGGAGGGGCAGAGGGAGAGGGAAAGGGAGAAGTAAACCCCCACTGAGCAGGAAGCCCAACATGGGGCTTGATCCCTGGACCTGGAGATCATGATCTGAGCTGAAGCCAGATGCGTAACCAACTGAGCCACCCAGAGTTACTTTTAATAATGTATCATTAAGTAGTTACTAATATTATGCCCATCAACCTTCTCTCCCACCAACCCTCTTGCCAGTAGATCAGGCTTGTGTGGCCCAGGTTCAGAACTGGGCAGATGGTGTAAGGGAGATAAATACTATCTAGAGCAGATTCATAGATAAAATCTGAAATTTTCTAAATTACGCCTATTCAATCTTTCATACTTAAAGTGATAAGCTGGCAAGGCAAACTAGGGCAGTGGAAAGAACTAGAAATCCAGGAAACTAGACTTAAGGCCCAACTCACAAAATTTGTAAAAACACTTGACCGCCCTGGACCTGTAAAATGCAGGTTGTAGAAGGGAGAATGGTACATAAATTCAGTAATTTTTAAGACTTGTAAATCAATGATTTTTTTTTTATTTGACAAAAAAACCTGAGATGCCTGGGTGGCTCAGTTGGTTAAGCGTCTGCCTTCAGCTCAGGTCATGATCTCGGGGTCCTAAGAATCGAGTCCCGCATCTGGCTCCTTGCTCCGCGGGGAGCCTGCTTCTCCCTCTACCTGCCACTCCCCCTGCTTGTGCTCTCTCTCTATGATAAATAAACTAATTTAAAAAAAAAGAATATCATTAATCTTTGAAAACTTAAGAACTCTTTGGTCCAAAATTGTATTGATCAAAAATATTTTATTAGGTGACCTCATATAGATACACTCTCCATGAAAAACTTAAATCTCAACAAGAAATATTGCAGGGAAAAACATTTCCTTCTTAAAAAGTTGGGTGCTATCCTCTCCATCAAAAGTACTGTTTGACAACACTTTGATGTTAGAGCCTCTTCTCATAAAATACTGCAAAAGTTTTAGCATCTTAAATTGTGTACTTAGTTCTTAAAAATAGGTAAAAGAGTTACCAGAGCATATGTTCTATATACTGATGATTAGCATAAGTTGTTGCCAGTTTACAGGACAATAATATCTAGGAAAAGCATAGCTGAATGAGGAATCACAAAGAAGGGCCACCTCTGCGAGAAGCATCTTGTCAGGGAGGCATAGTCAAGAAGAGGGACTCAATATTGTCATTTCAGATCTCTGCTGGAGAAGGTAAAGATTGAAAGAACCTTCAGTCACAAGCCTGGGCCATAAAGAAACTGAGCATGATCCAAGGAAAATTCTAGCTAGCCTGGAAAATATCTAAGGCGCACTCCTTAACCTGAACCTCTTATATATTAATAGCCATCCATGGAGGAACTCATGTAGTTGCCATGATGAAAAGTCAAGGTGGAACCAGCACAAAATCTTTACAAAATTCCTCCAATTCAAGCCAAAACAAAAAAATTGGGGGGTGGAGGGGTAATAGGAAAAACAGTAGCAGTGAAGATTCAACACAAGGAAAAAAAAATTGCTACAGAAAAAGTAAAGTTTGTGTTCAAACACATCATAATAAAAAAAAAAACCATAAAACCTACAAAGATGCGTTTGCTCAGGAAAGACAGGGCAAGACAACAGGAGGGATTAAAACAAGCTGGAGAGCTCAGAAAGGAAGCAGGAAACAAAGTGAAACCACCATAGATACAAAGATTATCTTGGACATGGAAATGGCACAAAGAAAATTGCTGAAAACGTTTTAAGTGATCTAGAGGA